CGGCCCAGAACTGGTCGAACTTGTCGTTGCAGACGCCGAGCCACAGCTGGTTGTGGTCCTTCTTCTGCAGCGACGACATCACTTGCGAGCGGTTGCGCAGAGCGTCGCTCTCCTTCAGCGCGTGGATCAGGTGGGATTCCACGGCGGCGCGCGACTGACAGCGCACCAATTGGTGTTCGGGGAAGTGGCGGAAGTGGATGGTGACCGTCCAGGGGATGCACGCGCCCAACAGGTCGAACAGCACGCCCACCGGGTAGTGCCTGGGATACAGGGGTTAGAGTCACGTGGTCATTGCTGTCATACTGACCACTTCAAAGGCGTGCCGTCGCTCTCGAGCCAGAGGTCGCCGGTCTCGCGCTTCTCTCGCAACAAATGTTTCAACGCTTTCTCCAAAACCAGCGGAAAGTAAGACAAACGCGAAACCATTGTCTGCGCGATAATAATATTAATAAGGGTTAAGTGGGAGTCAGGCATACGTAGTGGGGTTGTGGCGCGTGGAGCGACGCCTCCTCCTCGGGGTCGAGGCGAAAGGCCACCGGCAGATACCTCAGGGTTTGGACCGCGTGCTAAAGGCGCAGAAGGCTAGGGTAGCAACAACTACATCACTACCGACATCAGTACCGTTGGTGACGAGCAATAAACAAATGTAAAGCAGGTAAAACAACTTGTCTTTTGTCTCTGATTTGCGAACAAATCGTTTCTGAGGACGAGTTGTCGCCGAATCTCGACCTGTCGGCGCTTCTCCTCGGTGTCCTCCTTCTCGAGCTGAAGCTCCTCCTCTTCCTCCTCCTCTTCGCGCGCCTCCGGCAGCTGAGGCTGTTTCTGCTCCCAACCGCAACAACAGCGCGAGAAACAGAGTCTTTAACTGTTTGTGTTCTTCAGGAGAACTCGAAGACGACGACGACTTGGAAGAGGGAGAGGTGAAGGAGGAGGAGGAGGAGGGCGAGGCGGAGGGGCGCGCCCACCAGCGCGTGGTGGCGCCCGAAGAAGCGCGCTCCACGACCAGCATCTGTCGCTTCTACGGCAGAGGACAATGTGAGCGAATGAAGCACTCTGATTGGCTGTACTAACATTGTGTATCTTTAGGCACGTGGGGCAACAACTGTCGCTTCGTCCATCCGACGGGCGCGCAGCACAAGAGGGCGCCGCCGCCGTTGCCATCGCAACCGCCGCCGCCCGCTGTGGTGGTGCAGAGGGTGAGACCGCGCGAGCAGTTCTTCCCGGAGGGCGAGAGCGCGTGGGAGCGCGGGTTGAAACAGGCGAAGGAGATGATCGTGAGGGCGACGAAGCGGAAGGAGGAAGAGCTCGACTTCGAGGACAAGCGCTTCCACTTGGGAGTCGACGAGCAGCCGTCACGTGACTCCCTGTCGCCGAAATACGAGCGCAAAGACGACGAGTACGAGCGCAGGCGGCGTCTGGCGTTCGAGTCTGCGCCCTGGAACAACGACCCCGAACCGCCGCCGCCCGCGCAGACCAAAGCGCGCGCCAACGCCGAGACGTTCCGCGACCCCTGGCGGCGCTCCAAATCGCCGCCTTCGCAGCCGTTGGCGCCGAAGAGGCAGAGGAGCGAAACGCGCGCAAAGAGGTCGCACTCCATGTCCTCGATCTCCGCCTCGGGCTCTGAGTCGAGTTTCTCGGGCTCCGCCTCCGAGTCGGTGTCCGAGAGTTCGGGAGACGAGAAGAGAAGGAGATATCGGAAAACGGTTTCCGAAAAAACCCGAACTTTCAAAAGTAAGAAATCTCGAGATTTGAATGCATTTTGAATTTGAATTTTGCAGAAGAAAAAGACAACAATAATGAATACGACTCGTGGAGCGAGAGTTTGAGCGAAAGCGAGGATTCGATGAGCAGTTATTATTCCGAATCCGACAACCAATCAGAGGAGCGGAAGGCGAGTGGCGCCCCGCCCCCTCCCAAGCGGGCGAAAGTGGCGCCACAGACGGCCGAAAGCGCGAAGAAATCTCCGATAAAAATGACTTTTCTGAAGAAGGTTTGTGTTATTGAATCACGTGATCGTTGTTTTGACATTGTTTCCTCTCAGAGCCACAATTTGAAAGAAACGCTTTCCGTTTCCAAACTCAACGGCGAAGACATCGCGGCGGAGGAAGAGGAAGAGCGCCTGTCGCCTGCGTTGTCGCCCTTTGACGCGCTGTCGCCCAAAAACACCGCAAAGTCCATCTCTAGCGCTTCGCCGGCGCTCTCTTTGGACGCCGCGTCCACTTCTCCGCCGAAACACTCGGACTCGAAGTCTCTTTTGGCGACAGTTTCGCGACGCGAAGAACTGCTGCAGCAATTGAAGGCCGTGGAGGACGCGATCGCGCGCAAGAGATCCAAAATCAACTGATCTTTGGGTCGTTCATAGATTTCGTCATTTCTTTTCATTTTTCTGATAATAATAAATATGTTTTTGACGTTATTTACGGTTTGCTCTTATTTCGGGCCCTTTTGTGGCTGTGAAGGCGTGGAGTGTGTTGTGAGGAAAGGGACCGAACGCGAGCTCTGGCTTCGCATTCAGTGTTGATTTCCTTTTCCTCTTGAACTCACATTTGGTTTGAAATCAGTGTTGAGTCAATAATCGCAAGAAATGCCCGCAAAGAGAAACGGATTGATCCCAAACGGCCACTTCCGCAAGGATTGGCAGCGCTTCGTCAAGACATGGTTCGATCAGCCCATGAGGAAGAAGAGGCGTCACGTGACGCGCGTGCAGAGGGCCGCGCGGGTGGCGCCGCGACCCACGCAACGTCTTCGGCCGATCGTCAACTGCCCGTCCGTTAAATACAACTCGAAACGCCGATTGGGACGCGGCTTCACTCTGGAGGAGCTGAAGGCGGCGGCCATCGCCGTGCGGGAGGCGCCCAGTGAGTCACGTGCTCTCTTGTGCTTTGACTTGTGTTAACACTTCTTGTCTCTCCAGCCATAGGAATAGCGGTGGACCACAGGAGAGGCAACCGCAGCGTCGAGTCGTTGCAGAGAAACGTCCAGCGCTTGAAGGAATACAAGTCGAGGTTCGATACCATCGACACGTGTTTCGATACATCGATGTTAACGATGCTTCCCTCCCACAGACTGGTTGTGTTCCCCCTGAAGGCGAAGAAGCCGAGGAAGGGCGACGCGTCGGCGGAGGAGCAGAAACTGGCGCACCAATTGGTCGGAACGCTTCTGCCGGTGAGACGCGGCAAGAAGTACGTGAAGAGCGAGAAGGCGCGCGCCGTCACCGACGAGGAGAAGAAGTTCGCGGCGTTCCACACGCTGCGGAAGGCGCGCTCGAACGCCCGTCTGGTCGGGAAGCGCGCGAAGAAGGCGAAGGAGGCGGCGGAGAGTTTGGACGCGCCGAAGAAGACGAAAGAGTGATTGAATTGAAATAAATTGTTTATTGAATTAATACAATTAGATGTACTTCTCGTGCAATGTTTGCGAGCGATGGACACTCTTACTCTGTTGTTATCTCTCTCTTTCTCAGATTCTTACTGATTTTGTGTCTCTTTCGCCAAGTCTTGACGTCTATGACGTATGACCCGCGTACGCACCTCCGCGGGCTCCAGACCAGGGAAGACTACCGGCGTTCACGTGACCGCTAGTAGAGACCGCAGCCGCGCAGGTTGTTGGCGATGATGACGTCAGTGACGGCGTCGAACACGAACTGGATGTTTGTGGTGTCGGTGGCGCACGTCATGTGACAGTAGATCTCTTTGGTGGTCGACTTGTTCTTCGCCTCGAACTGCGCCTGGATGTAGGCGGCCGCCTCGCCGTACTCCTGGGCGCCTGCGATATATAGGGGGGTTAGTGGTGGTGCGCGCGTGTAATAAACTCACCTGTGTACTCGGGGAAGCAGATGGTGAGCGGCGACTTCTTGATCTTCTCCTCGAAGAGGTCCTTCTTGTTGAGGAACAGAATGATTGACGTGTCGGTGAACCACTTGTTGTTGCAAATGGAGTCGAACAGCTTCAGCGACTCTTGCATGCGGTTCTGCAATCATAAAGGGGTCAACTCGGGTCAGGAAGAATGAGACAACAATAGAGAGAGAAAGAGTCTAAGAATGACTAAAACACAGAGAAAGCGGTTCAGAACTGCAGATACTGCATACTGGGCGCATGCGTGGAGGCGCCCGAGGTCTGGTCCCTTCTGACCGCTCACGTGACCGCTAGTAGAGACCGCAGCCGCGCAGGTTGTTGGCGATGATGACGTCAGTGACGGCGTCGAACACGAACTGGATGTTGGTGGTGTCGGTGGCGCACGTCATGTGACAGTAGATCTCTTTGGTGGTCGACTTGTTCTTCGCCTCGAACTGCGCCTGGATGTAGGCGGCCGCCTCGCCGTACTCCTGGGCGCCTGCGCGGTATAGGGGGTTAGAGCAGGTCAATGGGCGCGCGCTTAGTAATACCTGTGTATTCGGGGAAGCAGATGGTGAGCGGCGACTTCTTGATCTTCTCCTCGAAGAGATCCTTCTTGTTGAGGAACAGAATGATTGACGTGTCGGTGAACCACTTGTTGTTGCAAATGGAGTCGAACAGCTTCAGCGACTCTTGCATGCGGTTCTGCAATCATAAAGGGGTCAACTCGGGTCAGGGGTCACACAACACTCACGGTGGTCTCGTCCTCGTGCAGCACTTGGTCGTATTCGGACATGGCCACGCAGAAGATGATGGCCGTGACGTCCTCGAAGCAGTGGATCCACTTCTTGCGCTCCGACCGCTGGCCGCCGACGTCGAAGAGCTTGAAGTTGAGGTTCTTGAAGGAGAAGTGCACCTCCACGATGCCCGTCGTCTTGACGCGCGTGCGCAGAATGTCCTGCTCGGTGGGCATGTACTCCTTGCGGCCCAGACGGTCCAGGTCGTCCAGGAAGCTGGGGGCGGGGGAGAGGGGTCACAGGGTCAGGCACAGAGCACAGCACTTGCATTGGCACTTACTATTTGGCCGAGTCGTTGAGCTGGTACTCGTTGGAGCGGCCGAAGCACTCCTGGACGCCGTTGTCGATCCAGAGGCGCTTCATGGCGCTGAGGAGGTCGTCGGAGAAGGGCTCCGTGTCCTCCATGCGCGACACCACGTCGAACACCATCTTCGCGTCCGACTCGCGCTCGTTGTTGACGAAGGCGATGCCCAGGTTGGGCATGGCGCGCAGGATCGCCACCATCGACTGGATCGTGTTCGAGTACACCACCGGCTTGTACTGCTTGAAGTCCTCGGTCGTGAAGCCCGAGTCGTGGATGATCCTATTGGTGGAGGGGTTTGAATGGCAGCCAATCAGAGCTCAGCACTTACTTCATCTGCTTGACGATGGTGGACTTGCCGGACTCGCCCGCGCCTGCAACAATCACAGTGAGAAGGGATAGACAGAGAGCACACTCAATGCATACCGAGGAGCAGCAGTTTGATGTCTTTGGCCGCTTGGATGCCGTCCTCCTTCAGGTTCTTCTCGATCTGTTTGCTCCTCGCGAGCGCCGCCCGCTCTTCGGCAGACATGGCGCAACCCATCGCTCCGCAAAGACTTCCAATGGAAGCAATGTTGGCAAACGCTGTGTTCAAGAGTGATGGGCGTCGGCCTCTCCCTCTCCAAACCAACGCTCTGTTCCAAACCCTGTTCTAAGCGCTGTCTCACCGAAGCCGCTCCTCTTTGGCGCACATTTCACGAGAGAATCGGTTCACAAATCGCGACAATTAACACTGTTTTCGGCGAAATCGCAACAAATGGAAACAGAAAATGGATTCTCAGAGCGAGCGAAAAATGGGCGAAAAAAGGATGCGAAAGAAGAGGAGAATCGTGCGAACGCGCAGTCGCTCTACGCGTAGCACATCCTCTCTCCTCCCATTCTCAGCGCAAAAATCAATGCATTTTCGCCAAAATCGCGCGAATTCTCCATTTACTCCCAATTTATTCAAATTATTCGAAACTTTATTGCGTTTAGAAAAGAGATTTACAAATTGGCGTGAATTTCATCCCAAAAGCATCACATCTTCCTTTGCCCCCAAAAGAGCACTTCTCCTTCTGGCTCTGCCCCTGCACTCCACGCTTCCCCCCTTCACTCGTCTTCGTACTCGAGGTTGATGTTGGCGCCGAACTTGGAGTAGAGGGTCGTCTTGATGTCCGCCATCTCGTCGCGCATCGCCACCACTCGACGGCGCGTGTCTTCGCCCGCGCTCTGCAACGCCCGTCGCAGCCCTTCCACCCATTGCTGCGCGTCTGCGGCAGACATGCGCGCGAACACGTCGCCCGAGCGGATCCACTGGTCGTCGTCCTCCAACGCCATCTCGTCCAACGCCTCCGAGAAGTTGTCGACTTTGCGGTCGTTGGCCTTCAGGTCGGCCTCGAGTTCCTCGCACTTGGCGTTGAGGCGCGCGAAGCGGTTGATGAGCTTCTGGTCGCTGAGCGTCACCTCGACCTCCATTGTTGTGTTTGTACACGAATTACGTCTTTATTTACAGCAATCGTAACAACATTTATGAATACAATATAACAGATAGAGTAGAGGTAGAGATCGTGACGTCAGTGCTTCCAGTTCTGCGCGCCCGCGTCGATCAGGTGTCTGACCAGACGCTTGCAGTCGCGGCACACTCTGGCCAGAGGACCCGACTTCCGGTCCGCGGCGTCCACCAGCACGGCGTCCCCGGAGCGCAGAGAGCGCCACCGCTTGGCCGCGGAGGCCGTGGTCTGGGGTCGGGGTTCGGGAAAGGGTTTCCTTGGTTCCGGCGGCGACGGCGTGGGCGACAGCATGTAGATGGGCACTTTGTCGAAGTTGGCGAACGGAATGTGCATTTTGGTGGCGCACCTGAGGGGAGAGAGGGTCAGTGGGGGTCAAGGGGTCATTAAGACTGACCGCTCGCAGACGACGCGTTTGCAGATCTGGCACTCGCGCGGCCACTGGCCGAAAAAGGAGAAGCGCGTCTTCAGACACGTGAAGCAGATCTTGCCGTTTTCCAGATCCGAACGCAAGTCCTTCGTCACGGCCAGCGTCTCGAGTTCGGCTGCAAATGAAAGGGTCACGTGACGTCAATTGTGAATTCGGGCTCACCTTTGGTCAGAACGTTGCGAATGTGTTGCACTTCCTGAAGGGACAGGGAGAGGCACTGGAGAGCGCGCCCCCAATCGCACGACTCCCAGATGGACACCACGTGTTGGCGCGCGTCTTCGTTCACGTCCAGCTCTTCGCGCGGAGTTTCGCAAACACTAATCGAATGTCTTCTCTCTTGAGATAAAAGCCGAGAAACTAAAGAAAGAGTTATTGTTTGCATTTTTGCGCGTTTTTCGAAAGAAATTACGTTTTTTGAGCGAAAATCTCTTTCCGTCGTCTTCTGTCGTCTCCGAGACGTCGTTCGCGTCGTCTTCTGTCGTCGTGTCGTCGAATGACTCGAACGAAAGCCTGAGATTCGCTTTAATGAGTCGTCGCTGCGGCGCAGGCGTCGTCTCGCGGTCCACTCGGGAACAGCCGTCGTCCGCGGGTGGCGCGCATTCGGCGGGTTTGGGAACGGGTTTGAGTTTGTGTTTCTGCCGAATGGAAAACATGAGTTTCTCGTAAAGGGTTTCCTGTTTGAGCGGCGGTGGCGCCAATTGGCGTCTCTCCGCCGACTGCAGCGAAGGGCGCGCGCGGATGAAGTCGAGGATGAGTTCGTGCGCGTCTTTGTTGCGCTCGCTTTCCGTCACTTCCACGCGATTCAAGGGAACGCCCGAACGGATGTCCGCCAGG